ATGCCCACCCGTCGCAGATGTGGCTGCGGTGCCCCCGGTGTCTGGTGCCCCGCTGAGAGCCCGGCTGGGCGGGGGGATGCCCCGGGCACCCCCGAGGACCCGCAGCGCTGTGACCCGGTGGTTCCTGCCGCAGGCAGCTGGGGGAGCACAGCGAGGGAGCAGAAAGGAGCTTCGCCGCTCTGACGGCATAAGAGGATTTAGCCGGTCTGTCAAAAATCAACTAACTAAAAACCCCGCACTAAAGTAAGGGACAATATCCCGAATTCGGTGTACCTGCCTCATCTCTTGACACCCCAGGCAGCTCGGAGGGCTGGCACCCCTGGCCCTGCCGCGTCCCCTCGCTCCCCCCACGCCGATGACGGGGCTTTCTCGCGCAGCCAAGCGCGCATTGCTGGGGCCGGGGGGAGCTGGGACGGGGCGGGGGCCCAGCGGCGCTGCCAGCGCCCACCGCAAAAGTTTGCCAAATCAACTCCTCTCAGCGGAATGGCCCTCGGAGGGGCGGCGGTGAGGAGGGGAACGGGACCCGCCGTCCCGACCGGCCCATCCCAGGCAGGGCGGCTCCACAGCGCAAGGGAAAAAGCCGCGCAGCGCCCAAAGCGCGGGGCGCTCCGCGGGGCAGCGCGCAGCTCGGGCCGGGCCCGGAGAGCGGACGCGCACTGGGGTGCCCCCCCCCGCCACAAGTCGCTCAACTTCTGCCCTGGAGCCCTGGCCCCGCAGCCAGGAAAGGCTCGCTGCTGCTGCCAGGGTGGAGCGGCAGGGTTTGGGTCAGCGGGGCCGGACAAAACGGGCCGAGGCAGGAGCAGCCCAGGCCAGAGGGTGGCACATCGCGGGGCACCCCCGGGGCCGGCAGGCTCTGACACGTCTCCTGCCACATAACGGCGAGCGCAACTTGCGGTCGCCTCTTAACAGTTGGAAAACAACCCCCGGTACGTTTACAGGGCTGCCGAGAAGGTGCCGAAGCGCAGCGCCGAGAGCCCCAAGAGCCCCGGCTGCCCCCGGCGGCCCGACACCCCCAGCCCGCAGCTGATGGGGGGGCCCGGGGAGAGCGAGGGGCGAGCGCGCCTTGGGCCAAGCGCTAATTTGGTGTGTACGCTTAAGGCGGCCATCTGAGGGCTGGATAGCAACCAGGGGAAAGGGGTGTATTCGCGACTGGGAGATTTAGGTTGTTGCTAGGATGTGAGAACAAAAAATCTTCAATAAGTCGGGGAGGGGGGAGGACGGGGCAGAGGGGGAGGAAGGGGGGTTACAAGGTTTGTCACAGGGAAAAGTGCAGACATCTGCTGGAACTTCCATATCTAAGCTGTTCATTTACAGGAGCCAACTTCTGAAATCTCCACAATTAGATCTGCATTGTTCTTTCTCAACAACACTGCCTAGAAAGAAAAGGTCTTCTCTGTCGGGGCCAATCCAACGAAGCGTTTGACGTTATTAAATAATAAAGCGATTGTGATTTACATTGTTGTTCAGAAAAAGGGCCAATTATCCACTGTTATGTTGCCATAAAGATCATATTAACTCGAATTAGTAATCAAACAATATGCTAGCGTTAAAAGTATAGAGAGGACAACGCGACTCGTCTTGTTGCATCCTCACTTTTTCTTGTAAAACCAGAAGCATAAATCCACTTGAAAGAGGCTCAGAAACTTCATCCTTAACGGGGAAAAACGAAAGAGGTACCAGCCTTTGTGATTAATGGTCCTCTGTGTTGACTATTTTCAATTAATTCAAAGCCACCCAAACCTCATATTGATTTTTCTGTTTACAAATTAATTCCTCTTTCGAATATCACGAGAAATGTTCCATGGTACTCTGAGAACCAGGGCGACTTTTTTTATATAAAGTCTTTCAGAATTTTGATTTTTGGGCGCTTTTTGTTTGTTTTTCATTTTGCTTTGAGCTTGGGATTTTTTTTTCAGAGTAACTTTTTCTACAGGCGTTTGAGTTCCAAGCAAAGATGAACCTCACCACCACCAAAACGCAAACCCAGCCGCATCCCTGCACTCCAGCGAATTTCTTCTGCCATAATCAAATAATTATTTTTATTAAAGCAGTTATTAGGTTTATAACTCATTTGCCACTTAAATTTGTGCAACCAACCAAGGCGATCTAAATAGGTTTGAGTTGCCCCTTGGGTCCGGGACGTAAGCGGTAAGAAGGAGGATTAATTATGGGTGTGTGCAGCAGGAGGACACAAAGGCTGTCCGGTGGTGCGGGGAGCAGCGGCAGGGCGCAGCCCCTTCCCCGGCACGGAGCGGGACCCCCGGCAAAACTCTCCTGCGCTCGTTCCTGAGCTGCCACGGGGCCAGGGCTGGGGCTGGGGGAGCTACAACTTGTTGGCAGTAAATAAGGCGCTGTCAGGTGATGATGCTCCGGCGCGTTTGAAACGTCCCGAACAAAGTGTTAACGAGACTTATTTTCCATGCATGATAAAGAATTATCATGATACAGGATTATCGATATGTTATGATGATATGATATAGGAGCATCGATGTCTTGTCTCCTGTGTAGACAAGGTCCGTTCTTTGCGCGCGGGATGACAGGATCTGCCCCCTGGAAACGTGCTCCAAGCGCCCACCGGCACCTGACTGCTGGTTCTAATGTCATTTATTGCCAACATGTTTTGTTATCTGCTGGGGGTGGGGGTTACTCGGAGCTCAGGTAATAACCGGGTAGCTGTCAGCTTCTCCCGTTTAGCACTAGTCAGGCAAGAATGGCTTTGCCAAACTGTTCCAGGAGCTGATGCTATTTGTTACCACGATTAGGGGAAAAAAAGAACGTTCACAGTAACATGGGTTTCTATAAGCAAACGCCCAGCAATTTTCCTCAGCGCAATGCATCAGCAAGTATATCCAAAAGAGCTTAATCTATTTCTTGCAGGTTAGGTGTAAGAGGAATCAGCAAGGGCTGCTCCGGGATGCCATGAAAATCCCGGCTCATTGGCTTGGCCGCGATAGGACAAGGCACATCAAATCGAGGCGGAGAGGAACAGAATCAATCAGTCCTCTTGGCTGAGGAGTGAGCCCTCGCTCTGGAAATAATTTCGAATAAAACTTGTGTAACCAAGTGTAACCTAGCTTACTCTGAGCAGATCGTCGAGAGGGAAAAAAAAAGTTAAAAAAAACATTACGGAAATAAGCCAAGAAAAAAAAAAAACCTGGACCAAATTATTAAGAGCGTAAAGTTTTCATCCATGTATAAGGATAATATATTAAGCCAAAAAGGAGACAGGTTATCTCTAAACAGGATTAAAACGCTTTCGTGTATAGGATTAGACCATCTCATCCATTTAAAAACAGTGTCTCACCTCCTCCCCACAACACTTTATTATATATTAAAAAAAAAAAAAAAAAGAAAAAAAGAAAAAGCAAAAAACTTTCCCCGTTAGAAGCACTTGGGAAACACGTTTTATTAATCGAGAGCTTTTTTTTTATTTTTCTTGCAATCAAATGCAACTGATGGCCCTGAATAAGCCGCCTTGTTAGGAAACGGGCCATTTTTTAAAACCTGTGATCAAAACAGACCTGTCTTCAGAGAGAGCACAGCAGATTTAAATGTTGGTCAAAAGGAGTCACAACTGTTCATTAAAAGCAAACCCTAACTAGTGCTAATGTATAGCCATTTTGTGAGCTCAGGACTGTGGAAAGAGGCGAAAAAAAGTCTGAGAGTGTGAGCTGATGCCGTGCTGGCTGGCAGTGTGTGGTCTATTGTAGGGAATGTGCTTTTTCCACTGAACAGAGAGCCCCCCTCTTTTATTCCCCAGCTCTACTGCACCTGCACTGGATCAGGGAGCTACTGCCATTCACCACATCAACAGAGAAGACATCTCTGACAGCACTCAATTCATTACATTTCTTCCTGCTTTTCAAACCAACGCACAAAAAAAAAAAAAAAAAAAAAAAAAGAAGAAAAAAAAAGTATTGCCAATCAGTGCCTGGGGGGCAGGGAAGAAATCTTACATTACTTTATATTCGCCGCTCATTTTGGATTTCATTAGTCAGAAAACTCACTTCTCTGCCAGTTACCACTTTTCACTTCTTTCTTTCTTTCCTTTCTTTCTTTCTTTCTTTCTTTCTTTCTTTCTTTCTTTCTTTCTTTCTTTCTTTCTTTCTTTCTTTCTTTCTTTCTTTCTTTTCTTTCTTTCCTTCTTCTCTCTCTTTCCTTCCTTTTCTTTCTCCCTCTCTCTTTCCTTCTTTTTATTCTTTCCTTCCCTGCTTAGGGGGCTGCTGGCAGTGGGAGCAGGGCCGGTGCCACCTCCCCAGCCACGGCCGGGGCAGTCCCAGGCCGGGGCTCCGCAGCCCCGGGAGCGGAGATGGGCCCATGGCGGGGCTCCCCAGGAGAGAGTTTATTCATAATTCATGGGAGCAGAGCAGCTCGCGGGAGACGGGGAGAAAGAAACGGCCGAAGAGACCCAAGTGTCCTGCAGCAGCTGCGGGGGGAGCGGCTGTGGGGGTGTTACCGGGGGTGTTACCGGGGGTGCCGGGGCAGGCGCGGCGGGGCCGGCGGCCGCTGCCGGGAGGGGACGCGCCGGCCCCCACCAACCCATGGAGAAAGTTGTTATCGGCCAAACTCCTCGAAAGGGACTCCGGGGAATTTGGGGGGTAGCTTGGTTTCTTCAAGAACCGTTTTCAGAAGCATTTGCAAGCGAAAGAAACCGAGACGAGGGGTTTAGACTCAGGTATTTGATCTCGCCGGACCCAGACATCTAATTAGAGTGGCCTCAGAGATTGAAATGGTGTTAATTCCCATTGTTCCCCGCTCAGATCCCTTGGCCCTCCACCGCTGGGATGCTCTCCTTTTCAAAATACTAAATAAAATATTTCTATTTGAAACAAACAAACAAGCAAACAATTTCTGTATTTTCCCCTTTTCTGGCCCATTTTTCTCCATCGCGAGCAAAAGCAAAAGCAAACTCCTGCGAATTTTTTCGCAGATGCTGGTAAAGAATAAAACCCCCTCTGTGGGATCTTAACAGAAATAAATCACAAGGAGCTCTTGCCTACCTGAAAAGTAGGAGGAAATCCGACTGTCTGGTTTCGGGTGTAAAGTGTGTATCGATAAGGAAGACACAGCCGACTCAGAAACGGGACCCAATTAATCTATGGGTTTCTTTACATCACCCCCTGTTAGGATGTGTGCTTTGGAAATATTGATTCATTGCGACAGGAAAGTCGCAACTACTGTGTGTGCATAACACGGGGAGGACACGGAGCGAGAACCCGCAGCAACGCAAAGCCCACTCACGGGAGAGCCAGATTGCTTTTTAAGCTAAAACTAATAATTTCATAACTGATTCACATTCAATCTGGCGCCGATGACGTCACGGGGTATTAGCATACGAGGAGGGATGAAGCCAGTGTGGCTGGAGTTGATAAGGTGCCTCCTGAGGAATTCGCTGCTTGTTTTAATACATTAATTATTTCTCTGTCCTCCTCAACTTCTGCAATTTGTAAGAGCTTAAAGGAACCATCATTCCCAGCAATGCCAGGACAGGTCGGAGAGCTTCTCCCGTGGCATTGGAGCCCGGCAGCCGGGGGCAGCGTGGGGATGAGTCCCAGCCCCGCTCCCGGAGCCCGGCCCGGCCGCCCTGCAGAGCTCTGCCGGACTTGCTTCTAATTAAGCGGGCTCCGGGCCCGGGCGTCCCTACTCGCCCGGGTAAAGTCGGTTCGCTCGGACACCGGCCGCCCCGGCGCTGGGAGCTTCCCGCAGGATGGGTTTGCAGGATCAAGCCCTCAGCCCGGGACGCGTGTGAGTTGTGAGTGTGCGTGAGTGAGTGTGAGCTGATGTGCCAAGACACCCTTGCGGAGCCTCCCCGCGGGAAAGCCTCTGCAGAGGCCCGTGTCTTTCCAGCACCCGGTGGGATTCCCCCCTCTACCCCTCCCCATCCCCATCCCCTGCCGTTAATCACGATTTTCTAGGGAAAAAAAAAAAAAAAAAAAAAAAAAAAGCGCCCACATTACGTCATCAGCCCAAACTGCTGCGGAGATGATGGGGTCACCGGGGACCCGGGGCGGGGGAGTCCGCGGGGGGCCGGGCCTCCCCTCCCGTTCCCTGGGGCAGCGGCCGCCCGGCCGGGAGCGGAGGCACATCCCAACATCCCAGCCGGGGGCCGGAGCGACGCTGTGCCCTCCGCAGGGCTCCGGACAGAGGGACGCACTGTGGGGAGACGACGGGACACAGCCGGGGCTGACAGCTCTCCCCCGGCGTCCCACTGCCCCCAGAGCTTGTAGGAGCTGGCGGCACCGCCGCTTTGGCCCCATCGAGCTCGGCCGGGCCCCGCGGAAGAGGCCTGAGAATCCCCAGCCCCGCAGGGTGCCCCTCGCGGACCCTCCCGAGCTGCGGCCACCTCGCTTCTCTGAGGAAGGGAACTGCCTTGGAATAACCTCTCGGTGACTTGAGTCTGAAACACATTTGGAGGGAAGAAGGGCGGGAGAGGGGCTTTAATCAGGGCCTGGGAGGGGGGACGGGTAGGGACGGGCGCAAAACACAAACAAAACACAGAGATATCCTAAAAGAATTAAATTTAAAAGGGATAAATTAAATAAACAAAACAAAACAACAAAAAAAAAATAAAGCCACGCTGTACAAGCTCTCGTCCACATGGCAGAGGTCCTGCGAGGAAGCACGCTGTGCCAGTGGATGAGCCAGAGACAAACTCCTGCAGAAACTTCTCCGGCCCGGCCCCGCTCCGTTCCCCGCGGGCGCTCGCAGCGAGGACCCTTCCCCGCCCACGGGATTCCCCCCGCTTCTGTCCACAGGGCTGCAGCGGCCCAGGCGTGTCCTGCGGGACAGCCGGGCCCGAACCGGCACCACACTGCACGGAGAGGGCCGTCCGTGCTCTCCTCCAACACTGCTAAATTGTAATGAAAAATTGCAGCTTGTTGGGCGCGCTCCCTCCCCCTGTACGCACAGGCGCACACGCTACAAACACACGCACACACAGGCACGCACAGTCACACTCACACACGGCTCAGCCACAGCAAACCCTCTGCGAACTCCAAAGCAAAGCTCCAAAACCATCCCGCGAGGTTCGGGCTTTCGCTTTGTTCCTCCTCGCCGCTCCGCCCGCCCGCACCTGCCGGAGCAGAGGCTCCGCCGAGCCCGGAGCGGTCCCGGTCCCCGGGCAGAGCCGGCCGGTCCCCGGGCAGAGCCGGCCCGCAGAACGGAGCTCGCCCTCCCGCTCTGGCACAGGCAAACGCGCAGCTCCGGGAATTTCCATCCCGGGCTCCTTTTCTTTCCAGTTCGCAAGCGAAACAGCCCCCACACTCACTGTAGCGCTGTACGTCCTCGCCAAGTGAATTGATTCCTCAAAAGCAAAATAGTACCAAACTCTCGCAATTCCCCGTGCCATCGTCAGAAAAACTGGTTTTAATTACCAAAACTAAAATAGCGGCGGTGCTAACTAGCAGACGATCAAACCGCAATCAAACTTAAATCTCTGAGCAGTTAGCTATAAACTGTCAGCAATTGAAAAGTAAACCTGGTGCACACAAAGGCTCTGTTTAATTTTCTTGTTGTAATGGCTCTAAATGAGGACCCCATCACTATGCAGTTAAGCGGTGTTGCTTGTCCCCCTGAGGCGCTGATCAGTTCTTTTTAATGTGAGAAAACTGGCAGCTCGAAGCCCGTCAATGGAGCTCCCACAACAAAAGTCCTGAAAAGCTGAATGAATTGGGTTTGTAATTACTGCTTCCCTCTCCCCCCTTGCAGCTTATCTCTTATTCATTCAACATACATTATTGTCACCTAATCGCACACTCCCAACGTTATTTTGGGGGTTTTTTGCCTTTTTTTTTTTTTTTTTTTTTGTATCTACTACTACGGACATGTTTGTTGTAGACATTAAACAAAATAATCCTCCCTTCTCTCTCCCCTCCTCGCCACGAAAAATGTTGAAACGACAGTGTCAGGCGAAGCTGACTGGCGTTAAAAAAGCAAAGACGAAGCTCTTCTGCCGTCAGAATGTCAGCATTTTGCATATATCCTCAGAAATCTCACAACCACCGAAGCAGGTTGTTCATTTTAATATTTGAGTTAGATCAAGATTTAAATGACTGAAGTGTATCTAATCACACCTATCAGTAATGGGCCTCTTTCTTTCAGTGGGACTTACATTATATACTACTTAAATTGCTGGGCTATCTACCTCCTATTCCGAGGCAGATATCCGGCTCTGCTGCCCGTTGGGGACGAGGAAGAATTGAGAGAAAACATTCTGCTGTGGGGATCACCGTCACCCCTGATGTCCCAGCTGGCATCAGTGGGCATCTCGAGGAATCAAAACGTGGTTTCGGCCGACAAATGTCGGCGAGAGCCGCGGGCTGGAGCCGGGCTGCGAGGCAGAGCCTCTCCCCAGATCCCCCACCGCAAGAAGCTGTCGGTTGCAGAAATAAGTACAGCTATTACAACCAAATCTACTAACAGTCTAAATAATTAATTGAACCATTGCTCTTTGACCCTTGGAAAGTCCAGTAGGGACCCGTTTGTAGTAATAATACCCCCGAATGAGCCCTTGTCAAATATTCATTTAGTGGTTAATGTGAGCGATTTCCCCCTGGGACAGTCTGTAATACCAGCTTCCCAGCTTTGGCAAGAAACCCTGCTAATCTACCTCTCCAGTTCCACAAAATATTTTAACACCCCAGTACTTAAAAAGCCGTAAAAAAAATCACAGGGGAAACTATAATCTTATCCTTGGGTTCACTTCGGCTCTGTAGAAGGTTAGGGAAACATTACACTGGTGCTCTTGGGCCGAGCATCACCCTGGCTATAAAATACACAACAATTCACGAGAGGGAAACCACGGAGAGCCCCAAAGGTCTTCAATAACCAAAATAAAAACATACCCACGAGCTCTGCTACACATTTCAGCTGCCATAAACGAAAGCCCAGGATAATGGCTTAGGTGTAAATGGCGTTATTGAATGAGTTGAATTTAAAATGAGCAGTGGACAATGGCGTTCCTCCAAGTAGCACTTTAAAAATAATACTGTTCAGCTGTACATGTAAAATGCTTTGGGTTATCCTCCCTAAACGGATAAATGGATGGATGGATGGATGGATGGATGGATGGATGGATGGATGGATGGATATAAGGAATCTGTCCAAGGGATATCAGGTTTCAACCACATATATTCCAAATCGTACTCCGAAATCTAAGCTTAAACAAATTGCCCATATAAAAAGTTGCTGAATTCACTAGGCCTGAATATGTGGCTTAGTGTCTTTTGTTTAGTGGTATTAGCTCGCCTTCTCTATGCGAATTGTAAAAGGACCAACATTTCCAAATACCCCCCTCGAATATTTTAGTTAGCACTTCAAAAAGGGTCCAGGTTTTATTGCTGTTAATTGGCTAAGATTCGCTTTTAAAAATGGAATCGTGATATCGATTGGGCTTTTATTCCTGGTTCTCTTTTCTCAGCGAGGTGAGCGGGAGTGGGGATGTGGGCTCGTTACCACGTGAATAATCCCCACATGCATTGCAAACGCTCTGAACAAACAGCTCTGAAAAAGAATGTTTTACTCGTTGCATTAGCATAGAAGACACAGAAAAGGTTGAGAATCTGCAAAAATTGTTGTCCTGCCCAAGTACCGAGACGGTGCAGAAATAAAAGGGACAATGGGAGCTAAACTACAAAACCAGACAGTGAGCAAATCTCCACGTCTCCTAGTCTGGCAATTATAGTTTTCATCTGGACACCAGGCTTCAAGGATGGAGGCCAGAAATGAGCCTAGGAAATAGCAATACCAAATAAAAGCCACAAGCAGCCAGGTAATTTTGTGTGTGTGTGTATGTGTGTGCGTGTGTGCATTTTACCCAGCCTTCTTCCTCCCCGACCTAAAGCGAAATCCAGTGGCTGACAAGAAATACTGGAGAGAAAAGCTCAGCAACGCTTGCCCCGTGCCGGAGTGCCCACTTTGTGCCTTGCCTAAACCAAACATCACATACTCTCCTTGCCACGTACCACATGCCATTAGCAGAAGACAAAACCAGCTTGCAATCACAGTACTTCAAATCCCAAATTTTGTACCTTTTTCTTTTTAATTATTATTATTGTTATTATTATTTACATCTCCCTCTCGCGCGTTTCCTAAGGGAAAGCACAGCCGCGTTAGCAGCACCAAATAAGCGCTGGGGCTGCAGCCGGGGCCGCCCAGCTCTGCTGCCCATCGCCCCCTGCCCTGGCCGGGCCCGCGGGCCCTGCTGCCGGCCGGGGCC